AAGACCTCCCAGCACTGCTCAGCTGGGCAGTGGGAGAAAAAGGGCAGGTGATCACCAGTGACACAGTGGTGTCTCCTCCAGCACAACTGAAAGTGACATCATTGCTTTGCCAGCAACACTCTAGCATCTGGATTAAAACTCTGTGGTTGCCGTTGTGGCCTTAATAAGATTAACACATTGCTTCGTGTTCTGCTTGAATACCAGTTTTGAGTAGGGTTTGTTTTTAGAATATTAGGGATATTATTATATTAAGCCACTTGGTATGTATCAGGCACCTCCCTATACTTTGGTACCTCTGTTTTGTTTGCTTAGAGATAATGATTCTAAGATTATTTTGGTGGTAGCAAAATTTGTCTCAGTCCTTTTATGCCTTGCATCCAAAAAATGAAGAACACAAAATTTTTCTGCTCTTCAAGATTTGTTAATCAATGAGGTACTAAGAGAATAAAAAGAAAGGAAAACTTGATGGTTAAACGATTCAGTTTTGGCTGAATTGCCATAAACATGAAAATGTCACTTCCAGTTGTGCTGGAATTGACATCATTGTGTCCACACGCATCTATATGCCATTGGTGAGAAGGCCCTCCTCCCAAGCTGGTGAGTCTCCCATTAGTTGCCAGCCTTTTTCTGGCAACCTTAAATGAAAACTGTAGCTGATGTTCCTAAACAGCTGTCTATCCACTGGTTATGCATCCACCTTCTCTTCTAAGAAACTTCTGGTTACATTAAAATCCTTAATTGCAAGGTCACATTATGATGTTGGATCACACTTGCACATATACCAGGGAGCAGCTGGACAGTTTTTAGCTACCTTTATCACATACAGATTGTATTGCATTATATGGTGGCTTGCAGAGTGGGTGGTAGAGAAGCTGACTACATGGACATAGACAACTCTAAAATGATGGGAACCTACAAAAGTAACACCCAAGAGGGAAGCCTGAGAGGTTCTCTGAATTCTTTCTCTGAAATATCAGAACAGACTAAACCCATAGGTATTCAGGTTACATTGTGGTGTATGAAAATGTTTACTTTTGCTACAGGTACGACTGGAATTCTCAGTTGTGCTCTTGTAGGAAAGAATAATCTGCTTTCAAATTAAGCCGTCCTTTAGAAAATCCTTTCATTTTGTTCATTTTATTCACACCAACACTGGTGGCTTTATACTTGGCTTTCTGAGTATCAAATTATGTATCCATTTGCTATAATTCATTCTATAGGGCCACATCTCTCATAGCAATTCCAAGTAAATAAGTTATAGGTATCCAACCTTTAAGAGCCTGCAAGCACCTTTTGAATTGTGTCACAGTGTGGTGGACACAGTCACAAAATGGCTGTTGCAGGAGGCAGAGCCAGTGATTAAATGGCTGCTGCCAAAGCATAGTTTTTAAATATCAGCACAACAATCAGAAGCCTTGCTGGGCAAAAGCCACACCTGGCCCTACACATTCACCACCACTGTACCATCATCGCACCCCCACCACCAATTGGAATGGGGAGCGAGACGGCCCTGGGATGGTAGTGCTGCCTGAAACTTGGTTATTAAGGACTTTTGCGACAACTAGAGCACCTGCACTTTATTGTATAAATGATTGTTTTAATCTTGGCATACGTGGCTCATTCCGTTCTGGGGAGGGCGGGTTATGAATCCAATAATTAATTAATTAATAAAATAAAAGCACTTGGTGGGCACTAGGAAAGGCATTGGTTGGTGCCATGGCACCCATGGGCATCCCGCTGGGGACCCTGCAACTAAGTAGTCATCAGTGCTTTGTTGGTGACAGCTTGTATGTTGTTATGAAAATAAAGGTCTCTGTCTTGCAGCTGTTCAACACTTCTTTGCTGTTTGCCTTCATAAATCTAATCCAGCATGAGTGGTCTAACAAGCCAAATGATAAAGTATTTTTCTCATTGTGTTTCAAATCCAAATTACAATTAGATGATCCCAGTCTGGTTCACTCCTACTTATTGCAGGTGGGTATGGATGTCAATCCTTCAACCTTTGCATGGTTTCACCTACTGAAACCAGTCTCTGCAAGAAAGCCCTGAAGGGGGGGGGGGGGACCCAGGCCCTGTCCTTTTTTGTGTTTTCCCCTTCCAGCAGTACAGGAAGCTCAGTTTCCATAGGTCAAACCATGCTGGGTTGAAAGGATTCAACTTCCCTTCCCCTTTAAGTGCCTCCAATCCTTGTTAGTCCCACACGGGGCTGTAGTTTACTTTTTTCAAAATGCTTGGAAGATCAACTTACAGATCTCTTTGTATCTTACCTTGTTTGACCCATACTCTAATCTGAATTTGGGAGTTTTGAGTTGTTAGCAGGAACTGGAGGGAAGACTGTTGCAATCAGTCACCTGCTGAATTCTTACCATTTTCCTGGTGTATTTGTTCACAAAGAGCATACCCAGGTGCTGTTTCAAATAATGATCAATTTCCTTTATGTTCAATTACACTGAATGTAACTTTTCACAAATTACATATTCTTTGTAATTTGTATAATCTTTATAGGCAGTGGGCAGTCGGCACCAAGCAGCAGTTTAACTTCTCCGAGCCATGTCAACCATTCTCCTAATACAGTTCCAGACTTCTCTTATTCCAGCAGTGAAGATGAATTTTATGATGCTGATGAATTTTATCAGAGCAGTTCATCCCCAAAGAGGTGCTTAGAGTAAGTGATGGGAAAACTTACACACAATTTCTGCTTGAGAATAATTGTGAAAAGTTGTGTGTCTTGTTGAATTATGAATCTCTTGAATTATCATGTGTTGCAGAAATTGTTAAGGACTATATTTTTGGCCAATTTTCTAAGTCTTTTCCCTAAAATAAAATATATCAAGAATAGTTTTTGGTCTGAAGTATTCCACTGATCAGGTTAAATCCATAATCAGGGTTATAAAACTGCAGAATAGGAGTTAACCCTACAACATGCATGTAGAAACTATGCACTAACTCTTGTCACTCCTAAATAGCTATTGGATTTTCATTCATAAGAACTGGAGTGAGTGTGAGTTGTAAGTCCTCAGTTCTCACCTCTGCTGCGAATTTGCTAGATTGGCATAGTAGGCAAGCCATTATTCTCTTAGCCTCTGCTCCACATCTGAAGTATGGCGATAAAGGGCAATTGAAAAAATTCAAAACGTTGTTACTGGCCCCTGAAACCCCTTCAGACAGCAACACAAGGCCAGAATGTGCATCCATGTTGTCTGGGGCCCACATATCTTGGGTACCACTTCCTCTGGTATGTCCCCAGGAGAGCATTACACTCCACTGAGAACAACCTGCTGGTGATCCTCAGCCCCAAAGATACCCGGCTGTCCTCGGCCAGAGTCAGGGTCTTTTCGGTCCTGGCTCTGACCTGTTGGAACTCTGCCAAACACCACCAGGGCCCTGCAAGGCAGATATGTTCCACTGGGCTTTTGTTTGAGGGCAGCAATGGTTTTTCTGTCATAGTTGGCACCCTCCTGTTCCTCCATCTTTATCGTCTTTCCCTCCTCGTGTCCCGTCTGGGAGGTGGCGACACAGTCCAGAATGGATTTTTAAGGGTCAGGTTAATCACGCCATCTTGATACACTATTTTAAGAATTTATTGAATGTATTTATTGAATCTATGAATTTTACCTTGTGGTACTTGATTTTAATTTTTGTTGTACATTGCCCAGAGTCCTATGTACACAGGGACTGAGTGGTTTACAAATCTAAAATATAAATAAAATAAGCCAGTTGGTTTAAGAATGGGATGCTGTTGTTAAACCCAGGTAAGAATGGCCATGAGGTGTCGGGAGGAATGCATCACTTCTGCATCCTGGGTGGTGGTTGCCCAGTTCTTCTGCTGTATCTCCAAAATTGTCCCTTGGATGGCAGAGAAGAGGGAGAGAAACCTCAGGCAGGAAAAGGTCACTTCCTTTGGAATCAGTCTTCCCCTGTGGGATGTTAGAAGCTGTGCCACTAAATTCCCTACCTTATCTAACAAACTTAGTGGGGAGAAGAAGTCCATATTCTACTATTTGGAGCTGCACTTGTTTTTTTCCAGGTTTTGTAATTTATTCATATGCTTTTGTTACTCCTCAGTGTGAATCTTACCTATCTGAATTCTTTAAATATCTAAATATGTTTTATTAAAATAGCTCTATCTTTCTCCAGCTCTTCAGGGTCAGGTGCAGTCCTAACTCGTAGCAGCACAGGAAGTAGTATGAAACGCCCAGACACAGCTGAATCCCTCAATTCTTCCTTGTCTAATGGGACAAATGATGCTGGTAAGAGATTCACATACAATACAATGCCAAAAATATTTCATGTACGTATTTCAGTACACTTCAAAGCTGTTCAGTACACTTCACGCAGAAAAAGGCAGCTTACCCACTTGCATATGTATAAGTTGCAGTAGAAGAAAAACTTCTAACCTCTATTTGCATCTACTTTAAAAACAATCAGCTATGGACAAGAATATCTTTATATGCCAGTTCAGATGTGTATATTGGTTTATGGTTTATTAAATATTTCCAAAAGCATTGCTGAATGTGATTCATTTTTCTAGATCTTTTTGATCAGCATGATGAGAGAGATGATGATGCAGAAGGAGAGTCAGTAGAAGAACACAAGAGTGTCATCATGCACCTTTTATCACAAGTCAGGCTGGGAATGGACCTAACGAAGGTAACTGTTCAACTTTCAGAGTATATTACTTTTACAATGAATAAATTCAACCGTTATATAAAAATTCTGAAAATACCAGATGAAAGCTCTTTTTATAAAGAATATTGGACTCTTCCCAGATTGTTTCCATTATGAGATACTGAATTTGTTTTCCTTGATAGAGAGGATCCAAACCATTTTTCTTTTCCTTCTTTAAATTTTTCTTAGTTGATGGATGGATTATATAAGAAAGAACTCCTATGGTAGAAAGCCTACAAGAGGCAACTGCTTTTTATCTGGTATTTGCCATAATACTAGTAATGTATTCAGTGGTGGTAGCAGTATGTATGAACAGAACATTATTTTAACTCAAGTAAAATAATGTTTCACTCTAGTTGTGAACACACTATTTATTTACATGTCTGTTAAAAACATCTATTTTGTTTCTTCAGGTAGTTCTTCCAACTTTTATTCTGGAAAGGAGATCTCTCTTAGAAATGTATGCTGACTTCTTTGCGCATCCTGACTTATTTGTGAGGTATTCAGGCTTTTTATTACATATTGGCATTGTCTGCTTACTACTGACTTGCATTTGATCCAAACCCAGGGAAGTCCATCAGATTTCTATCATTCATCCAAAATACATCATATCTTCCTGTTGGCTCGTGGGATTAAGTCATTTTTGGCAGTATAGGGCTATACCATTGTAAATGTACTGTCAGTCCTGAAAATCTCACCCTCTACTTGTTTATGAAAAAGAATATCTTTCAGGTAGGAATGGCAATGTTCTGTGAGTATAGTTAAGTCACCAATCAGTTATTAGCCTGGTTTTATACTAGAATAAACTTCATATTTTGTTTGGTTTCAGAATAAGATTTACTAATTTCTTGTGTTTTCTCTAGTATCAGTGACCAAAAAGATCCAAAGGACCGAATGGTTCAAGTGGTGAAGTGGTACCTTTCAGCTTTCCATGCAGGAAGAAAAGGTTCTGTTGCTAAAAAGCCTTACAATCCCATTTTGGGAGAAATTTTTCGGTGTCACTGGGTGCTGACAAATATTGACCAAGAAGATAATATGGTTAGTAGAATTATCCAAATGACTTGTGTTTGATAGTAAGTATTCTGTAATCATCTCAGAAGGATTTTCTTCAACTTCTATTATGCTGACAAGAAAAAATTCACAGCATTTTAAGTTCCGGATGCCTTGAGTCATGCACCCTCTGATATGTGGTTTTATGTGTTCACTATTCACTCACCATGTCATCTTTTGCAAGTAGGTTGATGGCTGTAGGATCTTTTTAAGAACATCAAATTGCCTGGAAGCTTTGTTAGTAGTAATCTGGCTGGCTCAAAGAGTGTTTGTCTCTTTCAGTCAGTTGTCGTTCCCCCCCCCACACACACACATACACACACTTTAATTTTTGATCTCAGAGTTAAACCTCTGAGAGTATCTTTCCAAGCTTGTGATTTTCATGCAGTAAATGTACATTTGTTGATTGCTATACAGAGAACAGTTTTCCACCATTTTTGTAATTGGGAGCCAACTGCATTGTATCTAACTAGCACATTCATTCTGATAGTGAGGGTCGTATGCATTGTAGTTGTGGTCCCTTTAAATGCCTTTTTTCCTCCATTGAAACCAATGGAGGATCAGGGCACTTTCTTTGGGGGCCCATAGAATTGGACCCCCGGTCCAATCTTTTCGAAACTTGGGGGGTTGGAGGTACCAGCAGCTACGCTGCAAATGTGGTGCCTCTACCTCAAAAAACAGGCCTTCCAGATACCCTCAGATTGATTCTCCTTTATTCCCATAGGTATACCCATATGAGCCAAAAAACAGGTTTCCCAAATATTTACTGAATCCTAATACCATATTGGGATTCGAGAATATCAGGAAATACTGATATATTGGGAGTTCAATATACCCGAACTCAAAAAATAATGATTTTTTTTTGTAAACCCTATTAGATTAGTCTTTTATAGCAAAAACAAAAGAAGGCTTGTGGCACTTAACTATTTTATTAAATTATTTCTAAGTGTCATGTGTATTTGGATGGTATTAAAACTTATCCTGTCCCATACTCTCTAAACACCATGTAGTACACATGTAAAAAGACTGCCACGTCAAATTGGAACTTTTTTTTTTTTGCAGGAGACTGTTTCAGATGGACCAATTCCATGGATTACCAAAAACAGTGTAACATTTGTAGCAGAACAAGTTTCTCACCACCCTCCAAGTATGTTATTAATTGTTTGGAGTTTTTTGTTTTTTGTCTTTAAGGAGCATTGTACTTACTTTTCTGTCTGTAAACTTTGCTCACTAATTTTGAAAGTGAGTTCTGGCTTTTCTACAGATTTCTTCCTTGGAAGCAAATATCTGTATTTATTTTGGATGTTTTATGTTGAATTCTTTGCTTTGTAGTCTACTTATCTATTTCTTCTCAAGTTTCAGCATTTTATGCAGAATGCTTTAGCAAAAAAATTCAATTCAATGCTCACATCTGGACCAAGTCAAAGTTCCTGGGGATGTCTATTGGTGTTCATAATATAGGTCAAGGTACGTCCCAGAGACATGTAAGTTATTTGCTTCCTCTTCATTCTAGAACAGTAAAAGTGTTTGTACCAAGGTATAGCCATAACAATTGCAGCTATATTTTGAAAATACATTGGAAATGTTAGTAGGGTGCAAGTTCTATACCCTATATGTGGCTTGTGGCTTGTTCTCTTCTTCATTTCTAGTTATTTCCTATTTTTTTTATCACTCTTCTCTCTTCCCATCCAAGAAGTCGGCCATGTTGCTGCTGCCTTCCTCAGAGGATATAACGTTTAGATAGGACACGATGATTTTATTACCCAGATTGGGGGGTAGGGGAGCATCCAGGCTTTACTGGCTCCTTCTTTGCCTATTGACTTTAAGTCAAGAAGGCACCAACTGAGTTAACTAATGATGTGCCCTGATCCGGATAGCCGAGTCTTGGAAGCTAAACTGGGTTGGCCCTAGTTAGTATTTGGGTGGAAGATCACCAAGGAGGTCCAGGATTACAATGCAGAGACAAGCAGTGGCTTTATTTTGACTTAATGGCAAAATAAATAAGATGTGAAGGTGTGTTATGAGGAAGGGTGCTGTGGCTCAGTGATAGTGCTTGGCATGCAGAAGGTCCAGGTTCAGTCCTTGGTTTTTGTTGTTCAGTCGCACAGTCGAGTCCGACTCTTTGCGACCCCATAGACCACCTCATACCAGGCCCTCCTGTCTTCTGTCGTGCTCCGGAGTTTGCTTAATTTCATGTTCGTTGCCTCGATAATACTAACCATCTCATCTTTTGCCGTCCCCTTCTTCTTTGACCTTCGATCTTTCCCAGCATCAGGGTCTTCTCCAGTGAGTGCTCCCTTCTCATTTGGTGGCCAAAGTATTTGAGCTTCAGTTTCATTATCTGGCCTTCCAGGGAACAGTCAGGGTGGATTTCTTTTAGGATTGACCGATTTGATCTCCTTGCAGTCCAGGGGACTCTCAAGAGTCTTCTCCAGCACCATAATTCAAAAGAATCTATTCTTCGGCGCTCGGCCTTCCTTGTAGTCTAACTCTTGCAGCCATACAGTACTACTGGGAATACCATTGCTTTGACCATGCGGACTTTTGTTGGCAGGGTGATGTCTCTACTTTTTATTATGCTGTCTTCCACGACTTCCCCTTCTATTTGCCAAGGAGTGATGGGGCCGTATGCCATGATCTTGGTTTTTTTGATGTTGAGTTTCAAGCCAACCTTTGCGCTCTCCACTTTTACTCTGAGCAAGAGGCTCTTTAGGTCCTCTTCACTTTCTGCCATTAGCGTGGTATCGTCTGCATATCTGAGGTTGTTGATGTTTTTCCCAACAATCTTAATTCCAGCTTCTGAATCATCCAGGCTGGCATTTCGCATGATGTACTCTGCATATATATTAAATAAGCAAGAGGACAATATACATCCTTGTCGTACTCCTTTTCCTATGCTAAACCAATCAGTTGTTCCATATCTTGTTCTAACTGTCGCTTCTTGACCCTTATACAGGTTTCTCAAGAGACATGTGAGGTGGTCTGGTACGCCCATCTCTTTAAGGACCTGCCATAGTTTGTTGTGATCCACACAGTCAAAGGCTTTAGCATAGTCAATGAAGCAAAAGTAGATCTTTTTCTGGTACTCTCTTGCTTTCTCCATAATCCAGCGAATGTTGGCAATTTGATCTCTAGTCCCTCTACCTCTTCGAAACCCAGCGTATACTTCTGGCAGTTCTCTATCCGCGTACTGCTGAAGCCTAGCTTCTAGGATCTTGAGCATGGCCTTGCTAGCATGTGAAATGAGTGCAATTGTGTGATAGTTTGAACATTCCTTCGCATTGCCCTTCTTTGGGATTGGAATGTATACTGACCTTTTCCAATCCTGTGGCCGCTGTTGTATTTTCTCTTTCTGGGGTTACTTGTACTTGCCATCTGCTCTTCCGCAGTAGCATATTGGACACCTTCCAACCTGAGGGGTTCATCTTCCGGCATCATATCTTAAGCGTTTTGTTACTGTCCATGGGGTTTTCTTGGCAAAGATACTGAAGTGGGTTGCCATTTCTCTAGTTAAAGGATCTGGTAATAGGTGATGTGAAAGACCTCTGCCTAAGTCAGTACTGATTTTGATGGAACTATGGTCTGACTCCGTATAAAGCAGTTTTGTTTGTGTGCTGTGGAGTATATATATTCAATCCTTAGTATTTCCAGTTTAAAAGAACAAGACCCACAGGAAAGTAGCACTGGGGAAGAGACTTTGCCTTGAAATTTTGAAGAGCTGAGAATGCTCAGTTAACATGAATGATTCCTCATCCTAAAATTCTCTTTTGCTATTGGTTCCTAATGAAGCAATCTTCAAAATATTGGTACAAAATACTTCTAGCAAAAGCATAAAAAGTGCTTAATTTACAGTACCATCTTAGGTATAACAGTTATACCTAAGTCTGGTTAACTAAATGAGCTTGAAAGGGTGTAAGTTTACTTAGGATGGTGCTGTTAGTTTGTATGTCAAGGACCTTACTGGGGTGTTGGATTCTGATTCCACAATCCTACTTTTTCTGCAGAAATACCCTTGTAGCTTATATTTATTTACGAGATGAGGGATCTGTTGTTTTTTACTTCAGCCTTTTGTGGCATCTGCATTATTCCTCTATTAAAAAGATGAGGCGTCTGATTTTTATAGTGTCCTGTTCTCTTTTGCAGGGTGTGTGTCATGCCTGGACTATGATGAGCACTACATTCTGACTTTCCCCAATGGTTATGGGAGGCAAGTGAAACTTGACAATATGCAGTATTTTTGCAAGTGTGGTGAGCTTCTTTCCATAGCCTTTGAAGTGTCTTCTGTTCTCTTGACAGATCTATTCTCACAGTGCCATGGATAGAGCTGGGAGGAGAATGCAACATTAGCTGCTCCAAGACAGGCTATAATGCTAACATAATCTTCCACACAAAGCCTTTCTATGGTGGGAAAAAGCACAGAGTTACAGCAGAAATCTTGTAAGTATATTCCGGCATTTTACTCAAACTCATTTTAAGCTGCAGCAGAAAATATCACATATAGGGCTGGGGTGATGGAGCAGATGGGGACGATCTAAAAAATTTTGGGCAAATATGTGTTACAAGCTTTAAGTTAGGCTAAAGTGGTAGTGATGCTTTTAATTTTTTTTCTTTTGACTAGTTCTCCAAATGACAAGAAATCCTTCTGCTCAGTCGAAGGAGAGTGGAATGGTGTCATGTATGCAAAATATGCAACAGGGGTAAGTGCCGTATTTCCCCCTCTTTGACTTGGTTTGGTGAACAGGCTACAGCATGTTGATGCATGTGTATTTCCTGTAAACAAAAATGATGTTATTGGAGAGCTATTTTTCCTGTGATCACTAAGGCTTCAGCTAGAAGACCTTTAATGAAGAGAATAAACAACCATTGGGGTTGGTTTGGTTTGAAAATGTTTTAACAGGCTTAATAACTGCTATGAAGCAGCCTGTACTGCTGGGGGGTATTCATATTGGGCTGCACTAAATTTAGTTTAAGTAAGTCTTGGAGCAAATTCTGATACCAATCAAAATTAAATTAAGAATAAATCATAGAATCATAAGAGTTGGAAGGGATCTCCAGGGTCATCTAATCCAGCCCCCTGCAAAATGCAGGAAATTAACAAATACCTCTCCCCCACTCACACACCCAGTGACCCCTGTTCCATGCCCAGAAGATGACAAAAAACCTCCAGAATCCCTGCCCAAACTGGCCTGGAAAAAAATTACTGCCTGACCCCAAAGTGGCAATCAGCATTTCCCTGGGTGTGTAAGAAAGGGCCACAAGAACTAAGCACTGATGCAACCCTTCCTGCCCTCCCTCTCATGATCTCCCTAAGTTCACAAAATCAGCATTGCTGTCTGATGGCCATCTAGCCTCTGTTTGAAAACCTCCAAAAGACATCTGGACACTATACTTCTGTTGATACAGCCCAAATCACGTTTGCCTTTTTAGCTACCATATCACACTGCTGATTCATGTTCAGTGTATGGTATACTAAGACCCCTAGATCCTTTTCGCACATACTTACTACTAAGGCAAGTCTCCCCCATCCTGTAATTGTGCATTTGATTTTTCCTACCTAAATGCAGAACTTTACATTTATCCCCATTGAAATTCATTTTATTTGTTTTAGCCTAGTTTTCCAGCCTGCCAAAATCATTCTGACTGTCTTCTACCATATTTGTTACCCCTCCCAATTTAGTATCATCTGCAAATTCAGTAAGCATTCCCTCTTTTCCTTCAACTCATTCATAAAGATGTTGAACAAAACAGGTCTCAGGACAGATCCTTGAGGCCCTCCACTTGTCACTCCTCTCCAAGAGGATGAGGAACCATTCACAAGCACTCTTTGGGCGCGATCTGTCAACCAGTTACAGATCCACTTAACAGTCATAGGATCCAAACCATATCTTACCAATTTGTCAACAAGAATATTATGTGAAACTTTATCAAAAGCCTTACTGAAATAAAGATAAAATTATGTCTATAGCATTCCCCTGATCCAGCAAGGTAGTAACTTTGTAAATGTAAGTAAACATACGTTTAAAAATGTAAAATGTCTTCTTCCTCTAGGAGAATGTAGTCTTTATAGATACCAAGAAAATGCCTATAATTAAGAAGAAAGTAAGAAAGCTTGAAGATCAAGAAGAATATGAATCCCGCTGGTAAGAACTTCAAGCTCTTTTTCTGGCTGTCCCACTAATTCCGTCTACTTGTATTCTCTTAGAATTCTCCAGTGGTCCTAGGGGTGGGGCAGTCTATAGGAGCTCCTCCTCTCTGCAGGCAGGGTCGTCATCTTTGCAGTCTCAGAGGGGAGAGGCTTATCCCAGAACTCTCCAGTTTCTTCTGCCCTGTCTAGCAGCAAGATGTCTTTAGCAGTGCTTTTCAAAGCACAGCGATCCCATTAACCAGCTTACCTTAAAGAACGTTTTCACAAGTCACTGGTTCAGAAGACAGAAGGTTGGAGACAATTGCAGGGAGCAGGAAGGGCTTCTGCTCCACATCTTCGTGGCAGAGATAAACAGGGAGCTAACCGTGCCAGGGATTACCCTCTCACCACAGCAGTTTCCAGTCAGGCACTGCAGTGGGATCTCCAGCCCTAGGGCCAGAAACTTCCCCACACAGGGGTGTGACATGCCGGTGGCAGCCACACCAGAGCGCCTCAGCCCTCTGCACAGCCCCTAAACCACCAAAAGGGCTGGTTTCAGCAAGGAGACTGCACCAGGCACAGCCACGACCTCCCATACCTCCAGAACTTCTGTAAGGCCTAAACAATTTATTCTCCAAACGGCCTGCTTTGTGGCATAGGAGAGCCCTTTTCACTTTCGGTTTTAGGGGAAGGAGTCCAGTTTATTCTCTGAAGGGGCTGTCTTATGGCAGAGGAGAGCTTTTCACTTTCAGTTTTGGGGAAGGCGTCGAAGGCAGACCTTTCTACCTCCCAGCCCCACGATAGCATGGTCTCTGAGCTAAACCTACCCAGTTCTCTGGCCTCTACCTCCATTCCTGGGTCCCAGCTGGATAAGGAGAGGGA